GGTTCCCCCACCTGGGGCGAACATCATCAGTGGCATGTGGATTTACAGGGTGAAGCGGCCGCCGGGTTCTCCGCCTGTCTTCAAGGCGCGTTACGTGGCTCGTGTCAAACATTATACTTGTTATATTTGTGTAGGCTATAGTGGGTTAGCCTATAGGGGGTTCACAACTCTATTTGTACTCTCACTTCTTTCTAGTCAAACACTTCTTCTTTCTAACATGGTATTAAGAGCGTAGGTTTAGACCTAGGATCGCTCCTTAGGGCCCACCGTTCAGTTTCTGTCTGCCTACTAGCGCCCTCGTGCGCCCTACTGTCGGAGCGCCCTCGAGCGCCTCCCCCCAGCGCCCTCGTGCGCCCCTCTTTAACGGCCCCTTAAGGCCCCGCGACCCGCGACCCGCCCCTTAGCGACCCGCGCGCCGCCCCTTAGAGGCCCCGTTGGCCCCGTCGACCCCGCGCGCGCCCCGCTTAGAGGCCCCGTCGGCCCGTCGACCCCACGCACGCCCCACCTAGAGGCCCCGTCGGCCCCACCTAGAGGCCCCGTCGGCCCCACCTAGAGGCCCCGTCGGCCCCGTCGACCCCGCGCGCACCCCGCCTAGAGGCCCCGCTGGCCCCGTCGACCCCACGTGCGCCCCGCCTAGAGGCCTCGCTGGCCCCGTCGACCCCGCGCGCCGTCCCTTAGCGGCCCCGTCGGCCCCGTAGACCCCGCGCGCACCCACCCCTTAGCGGCCCCGTCGACCCCACGCGCCGCCCCTTAGCGCCCCGCACGCGACAGCCACGGCCCCGCCAGAACCAGGCCGCCCGAACCGAGCCGCCCGAACCGAGCCGCCCAGTCCGAGCCGAGCCGCGCCGCCTGAACCGAGCCGCGCCACCCTACCCGAGCCGCGCCGCCCTACCTGAACCGAGCCGCGCCGCCCGTACTGAGCAGCCTCTCTGGACCGAGCCGCCCTACCTGAGTCGCGCTGCCTACTGCTTTTAGGGTGCACCTACTGCTACTACTGCTACTACTCCGACTACTATACTGCTGCTCCTACTTCTACTATGGCTAGCCCTCCTGTGCTAGCTTTCGATGCTGAGGGCTGCCCAGTGAAGTTTGACACCTGGCTAGATGACCTGCACCTCTTCCTACAGCTCACTGCCAAGGAGGACATCTCACTGTACGATCATGCCCTAGGCCATGCCACTGCCCCTGCTGCTACTGCTGATAGCACTGCCCGCTCACAGTGGCAGACTCGTGACGCCCACGCTCGCTTTGCTATTCGCAACTCCCTACCGATAGATGAGCGCGAGCACTTTGGCCAGCACAAGACTGCACAGGCACTGTACACTGCTGTCGTTGCCCGCTACTCCTCACCTGCCTCTGCCGCGCTAGGCCGTCTCTCACTCCCCTACCTGTTCCCCGACCTGGCCTCTTTCCACACAGTCACTGACCTCATCACGCACCTCCGTACTAGTGAGGCCCGCTTCCGTGCCGCCATGCCCGATGTGTTTCTTGCCACGAACCCCCCCCCGCTCTGGCTCACTCTCTACCACCTAGTCACCCGCCTCCCTGACACTCTGCGTGCAGTCAGGGATCACTTCCTAGCTCGCTGCCCCACTGAGCTCACCATTGCCCTCCTCGAGAAGGAACTCCTTGCAGCTGAGGCTAGCATAGTCGCTGTAGGTGCCTCTCGTGGCGACCCCCGCACCCCTTTCTTTGAGGGGTGTTCCCCTTCCCCCCTTCTTCCCTCTGTCGCCTCTGCTTCTGCTGTCGACCTCCTTGGTGCTGAGAAGGTCGGGACTGCGTCTGCTTCGAGCTGGCGCCGCAGCGGCAAGGGCAAAGGGGGCAAGGGAGGCGGAGGTGACGGCGGGGGAGGCGGTGGTGGGGGCGGTGGCGGCGGTGGGGGTGGTGGTGGGGCTGGAGGGACTAGTGGCAGCGGTGGGGGTGGTGGCGGCAGCGGCGGGGGAGGTGGCAGGGGCGGGGGCGGTGGTGGGGGCGGCGGTGGACGCGGCGGCGGCAGGGGAGGGGGTGGTCGAGGAGGTGGCGGCGGCGGTGGTGGTCGTGGAGGCGCTGGCAGTGGCCAGAGCCAGCAGCACACTCCGTCGCCCCAGGAGCTCCGTGAGTGGTACTCTCAGCACGGGGGGGGGGGTGGCCTTAGCTGCACGTACGTCATCCGCACTGGTGACCGCACTGGTCAGACTTGTGGGAGGGCGCACACCACGCAGCGCTGCTTCTCTCGCCTCGACGACGCTTGGCGTACTCAGTTCCCTGATGCCACTGAGCTGCCCCGCTGGGCTGATCTGATGAAGAAGAACATTGATATCTATGCTCTAGACTTTGATGCTATTCTCACTGCCATGTATGTGATGTCTACTAGTGGAGAGGGTGCTCAGTACCTGCGTGTTCCGCCCGACCCGGGCATTCAGACCAGTGAGGCTGCCGCTCTAGGTGCTTGTGAGGCTGCTACCCCAGGTACTGGTGAGGCTGCTGCTCTAGGTGCTAGTGAGTCTACGCCCCCTGGTACTGAGTCGACTGAGGCACTGCACACCTTCACACTGGACTCAGGTGCTTCTCGCTGTTTCTTTCGTGACCGCACTGCCCTTGAGCCGCTTGCTCGGCCAGTTGCTGTCTCCCTCGCTGACCCCTCTGGGGGTCCGGTCATTGCGACCTCCTCCACTGTCCTTCCTTGTCCTGCGGTCCCGTCGGGCACACTGTCAGGTCTCCACCTCCCCTCGTTCTCTACGAACTTGGTGGCGGGTTGTGCGCTCCAGGACGGGGGTGTTCACCAGTTCACCCCTGCCTACGAGCGCGTGACACACTGCACGTGTGCTCGGACGGGCCGTCACCTGGCTACCTTCACTCGGCAGCCGGGGTCGGACCTGTACACACTGACCACTGAGTCCCCTCAGGTAGCTGCGTCTGCGTCTGCGTCAGGTCAGCTGTCGGCCCCCTGCTCGTGTCGCTCTCTGGCGCACGAGACCGTCCTCTGGCACCACCGACTTGGTCACCCGTCCGTGCAGCGCCTTCGTGCCATGCACAAACGGTACCTTGTCTCTGGTCTTCCCAGGGTTCTCCCTCCCCTCCCACCCTCGCCTGCTCCTCCCTGTCTTCCCTGTGTCGAGGGGCGGCAGCGCGCCGCTCCTCACTCCTCGTTTCCCCCGACGACTGCTCCCTTGCAGACGCTCCACATGGACGTGTGGGGCCCAGCCCGCGTCCGTGGTCAGGGTCAGGAGAGGTACTTCCTGATAGTTGTTGACGACTACTCGCGCTACACCACGGTCTTCCCCTTGCGCACCAAGGGTGAGGTCCCTGATGTTTTGATCCCTTGGATCCGCGCTTCTCGTCTCCAGCTCAGCGAGCGTTTCCACTCGGACTTTCCTGTCCTGCGCTTGCACTCTGACAGAGGTGGTGAGTTCTCCTCCGACCTCTTGGCAGCCTACTGTGCGGAGCATGGCATTCGCCAGTCGTTCACGCTTCCGGCCTCTCCACAGCAGAATGGGGTTGCTGAGCGCCGCATTGGCTTGGTCATGGAGGTCGCTCGTACCTCCTTGATCCATGCGGCTGCCCCCCACTTTCTGTGGCCGTTTGCAGTCCGCTACGCTGCGCATCAGCTCAACCTCTGGCCACGTGTCTCCTTGCCGGAGACTTCCCCGACACTGCGTTGGACGGGAGAGGTTGGCGATGCGTCGCGTTTTCGGGTCTGGGGATCTCGAGCTTTTGTTCGCGATACGTCCGCGGACAAGCTCTCCTCCCGCGCTGTTCCTTGTGTCTTCCTGGGCTTTGTCCCGGATGCGTCTGGCTGGCAGTTTTACCACGCCACCTCGCGCCGGGTCCTGCCCTCTCAAGACGTCACTTTTGACGAGTCCGTGCCCTACTACCGCCTCTTCCCCTACCGCACTGCCCCGCTCCCCCCCCCCCCGCCTCTCTTCCTCGCGCCAGGTTCTGCTGTGGTAGACCCCCTCCCCCCTCAGGGTGCCGCTCCCTCAGGTGTGTCCCAGGTAGACCCGGTTGAGCCTGTCGAGGTAGCTGTCGACTCTCGTCATGCTAGGGGTGCTGAGCCTGAGCGAGCGGAGACTGAGCGAGCGGAGCCTGGGGGTGCGGAGCCTGGGGGTGCGGAGCCTGGGGGTGCGGAGCCTGGGGTTGCGGAGTCTGGGGGTGCTGAGCCTGGGGGTACTGAGTCTGGAGGTGCTGAGTCTGGGGGTGCTGCGTCTGGAGGTGCTGAGCCTGGGAGTGCTACACCTGGAGGAGCTCTCTCCTCTCAGCAGCTGCGTGAGTGGTACTTACAGTACTGCAGCCTCAGGAGAGGTGCTTCTGGAGCCAGGAGGGCTGCTGGAGCCGGTGCTAGTGCTTCCCCTCCTCGGCGGGAGCTGCCCTCTCCCCAGCGGCTCCGAGAGTGGTACGCGCGGCGCTGCAGTCTCCGGAGTGGAGCTCCTAGTGTCGCGGACCCTGGTGCTGGAGGTGCTGCTGCTGCTGGAGGTGCTGCTGGTGCTGGTGCTGCTGACGCTGCTGGTGGTGCTGCTGGTGCTGCGGACCCTGGAGTTGGAGCTGCTGCTGGTGCTGAGGACCCGGGCGTTGGAGCTGCTGCTGGTGCTGCGGACCCTGGAGTTGGAGCTGCTGCTGGTGCTGTGGACCCTGACGTTGGAGCTGCTGCTGGTGCTGCGGACCCGGGCGTTGGAGCTACTGCTGGTGCTGAGGACTCTGGAGCTGGTGCTGCTGCTGGTGCTGCGGACCCTGGCGCTGGTGTCTCTGCTGGTTCTGGAGACGCTGCGCGGCCGCGGCCGTACTTCGTTCCACTCCTTCAGCAGGTTCTTGGTCAGCCTCCTCCCTCCTTAGCGTGTCCTCCGTCTGTCCAGTCGCAGTCACAGTTACCGTCTGCCTCCCCTCTCCCTGGTCCTGCTCCTTACACTGGTCCGACTGGAGGTCTTACGGAGCGTCGTGAGCCTGAGTCTCGTCCTGCGTCGCCTGAGTCTCGTCGAGCGTCGCCTGTTCGTGCTGCTCACACTGGTCGTCGTGTCCCGCGTCAGCGTCCTCCTGCTGTCCCAGGCACTCACCAGATGGCGCTTCGTCCTTCCACTGCTCCCCAGCGTGTCCCTCTCCCGTCTCCTCCTGCGTCCTCTCTTCCTGCTCTTGCTGACCCTGAGTCTGACTCCCTTCGTGCTACCAGTCCTACTGTCACGCGTCTCCTGGCTACTGTCGTCACTGACCCTTCCTTTGAGTCCACTGCTGCGTCTGCCTTAGTTGCTGAGCTTGTCGACTTTGCTGCCACTTGTCGTCTCGACTACGCCGCTAGCCTAGTTGCTGAGTCTGAGTCTGTCTGTCCTCCGTCCGTCGGGGGTGAGTGTGCTCTTGGCACGGACGTCCTTGAGGACAGGCAGGAGGAGTTTGAGTGCTTTGCCGCTACTTTGCCCCATCTCGTGTCCATGCTAGTTGCCCCTGAGGGAGACCCGGATGCACCAGACATCCCGACTCCTCGATCGTACGCTGAGGCGATCGAGGGTCCCTACTCCTCACAGTGGCAGTCAGCCATGGACGCAGAGATGGCTTCCTGGAAGTCCACATGCACCTACGTCGACGAGGTTCCCCCACCTGGGGCGAACATCGTCAGTGGCATGTGGATTTTCAGGGTGAAGCGGCCGCCGGGTTCTCCGCCTGTCTTCAAGGCGCGTTACGTTGCTAGAGGCTTCAGTCAGCGAGAGGGAGTTGACTTCTTCCAGACCTTCTCCCCGACCCCGAAGATGACCACTCTTCGGGTACTGCTGCACGTCGCTGCTCAGCGTGACTACGAGCTCCACTCTCTTGACTTCAGCACTGCTTTCCTACAGGGCAGCCTGCACGAGGAGATCTGGCTGCGCCGCCCACCTGGCTTCACTGGGTCGTTCCCTCCTGGTACCCAGTGGAGCCTCCGGCGGCCAGTCTACAGTCTCCGACAGGCGCCGCGTGAGTGGCACGACACACTGAGGACTACACTTGCGGCTCTTGGGTTCGCTCCCTCTACTGCTGACCCGCCGCTGTTTCTACGCACCGACACTTCGCTGCCGCCGTTCTACATCCTCGTGTACGTCGACGACTTGGTCTTTGCCACTGCTGACACTGCGGCACTCGCTCACGTGAAGTCGGAGCTGCAGAAGAGACACACGTGCACAGACCTGGGTGAGCTGCGCAGCTATCTTGGCTTGCAGATCACCCGGGACAGAGCACGGCGCACCATTACCTTGACTCAGTCACACATGGTGCAGCAGGTCCTTCAGCGCTTCAACTTCACGTACTCCTCGCCTCAGGCCACTCCTCTGTCTACTCGCCACTCGCTCTCAGCTCTGCCTTCGGATGAGTCCGTAGAGCCGAGTGGCCCGTACCCAGAGCTTGTCGGCTGCCTGATGTACCTGATGACCTGCACTCGACCTGACCTGGCATACCCTCTTAGCATCCTGGCACGCTATGTTGCTCCTGGGAGACACCGACCAGAGCACATGGCTGCAGCGAAGAGGGTTTTGCGCTACTTGTGCAGTACGTCGGGCATGGGGCTCGTGCTTGGAGGGCAGAGTTCAGTGGTCCTCACTGGTCACGCAGACGCGTCTTGGGTTGACGACTTGGCTACACAGCGGTCGTCACAGGGTTACACCTTCAGCCTTGGTTCCGGCTCTGTTTCGTGGCGGTCTACCCGCTCGTCTTTTGTTCTCAGCTCCAGCTGTGAGGCTCAGATCTACGCAGGGGCCATGGCTGCACAAGAGTTACGCTGGCTCACCTACCTGCTGACTGACCTGGGAGAGCCTCGTTCTTCTCCAGTTCTGTACGTAGACAACAAGGCCATGCTGGCCTTGTGTCGGGAGCACAGACTGGATCACAGAACGAAGCACATTGCTCTTCGCTACTTCCTTGCTCGTGAGCTGCAGCAGCGTGGTCAGCTGCGCCTTGCTTACGTGGCCTCTCGGGCCAACACCGCTGATATCTTCACCAAGGCACTTCAGCCTTGTGATCATCAGCGCTTTTGTACTATGCTAGGTCTTGTGCCTACTTGGCCTCACTTGCTCACTTCTTGACTTTGCTTGTACTGTGATCTATATATACCTGCACCTGCATGCTTACCCTTGCTAGGTTGAGATCACTGCCTTGCTTGTTCACTTTGATATATAACTCTGCTTGTGAACTGGCCTTGTGGCCTTGTGCTTGTGCTCAGAATGCGTGGTGACGTTGTGATCCACCCTGAGCTTGTTTTGCTTTGTTTCTTCTCTTGACTGGTCTTGTGACCGTTTCTTGTGTTGGCTATTCCCCACTTCACCTATGGGGGTGTGTCAAATTATATGTTTAATGTTATCTAGGCTGTAGTGGGTTTAGCCTTAGGGTGTACAGAATTTTGCTCGACACTTCTTTGTATCCCCCTCCTTGCCCTAATCAAACCACACCTTCATACTATTCTAACAATACTCAGGGACCGACCGAACGTGCCACTGTACACGCTGTTGCAATGAACGCAGCTGCCGCCCGTTCAAGAGGCGCTGCTTCGCATGCAATAGGCCGGGCCACCGCAAGAGTGACTGCCCAGAGGAGCTAAGGCGCCATGGAGCAGAGCAGGGGAGGGAGTCTAGGAGGCAAGGAAACGCCAACAGTCAGTAGAATACAGGCCCACTACTAACGAGACTCACTGCTCGCCCGACCTCTCTGACCCTCACCGAGTCACAGTACCGATTGCCGCAATCGATCGGGCTCGGCTGATGAAGGAGGGTACAGCGACAGATTGCCCAATACTGATTTACGGGAAAATACAGGGGGAAGCAGTGAAGATTCTTAATGACGAAGGAGCAAGTCACGACTTAGTTAATACCGCAACGGCTCGGAAACTACATTTGACACTTTGCCGCTGTTTACCGGAGATCGACGCACGCTTAGTTACGGGAGAAAGTAGAGAGAGTGAAGGTTCACTGCGGGGGAACCTTCGGGTTTACACAGGAAATGCTCGCGACGATACTGGATGGGCACGCCATTTTACCGGGACGTGATTGGCTGCGACGCTACAACCCGCAAATTGACAGGACGACAGGTAGCAGCACTGTGCGAAGTGGCGGTATCTGGGTTGACGCGTACGTAGTGAACATCACGGTAGTAGGAGATGCAGAGGAGCTGAGTGATTTTCAGAAACTGCTGGCAGCTGTACCGCCCGAACTACAGGAATGACTGAAACGGTACCCGGGGAATTTTCTAGATGATTTACCGGAAGGACTGCCACCTCAGCGAGCACATGGCCACCGCATAGAGTTAGAGCCCGGGGCACAGCCAACCGTATACCGACGGTTCCAACTAACATAGCCGGAACTCGACGAACTGACAAAGCAGTTAAATTATTTACTAGAGAAAAAAGTTCATCCGACCGAGCCCATCCTTGTTCGCCGCACCAATAATGTTCACATCGAAAAAAGACGGAAGGTTCCGCATGTGTATCAACTGCCGCGCACTGAGCGGGTTAACAATCAAATTGCGATACCCCATCTTCCGTGCTAACGAACTCATCGACCAACTACGAACAACGAGGGTATTTTCGAAAACCAGCTTACGCGGCGGTTACCACCAGATTTTAGTCGAACCGAGAGACTGCTCCAAGAAAGCATTTAGAACTAGATACGGGTCCTTTGAGTACACAATAACGCCTTTCGGGCTGACCAACGCACCCGCGACTTTCTAGATGAACGGACAAAATTTATGGGGCACGTTATTTTGGAGGCTAGAGTAGAGATCGACCCGAAAATTTTAGACACGTTGAAAGCATGGCACCCCTCGACAAATATCACGGAGCTGCAGGGTTCGTTAATGTATGTGCGTTGGTTTGTCTCCAAAATGGCATGGTTGACTGCCCCACTGATGGATGCGCTACGAAAAAGGGGTCGTTTTTACATGGGGGGAGAAAGAGCATGCTGCCTTCTCTGCCCTAAAAACTGTTTTCGTTTCACCGCCAGTACTGCGCATTGCCAACCCACACCACCCATTCGAAGTGGTTACCGATGCCAGCGACATCGCCATTGGAGCCGTACTACTACATGAATTTGGCAACTGATTACAACCCATTGCATACAAGTCACGAAAACTGCATCCGCCCGAAAAAAGTTACCCGATACACGACCGAGAAATACTTGCGATCGTGCACGCCTTCAAAGTGTGGCGCTGTTACTTGACCGGCGCAAATGTGACAGCGGCACAAACATGACAGTATGGACAGACCACAGACCACTGCAATACCTTCACGCATAGCCCCACCTTAACCCACGACAAGTCCGTTGGCTCGACTTCCTCGAGTCCAACTTTCACTACACGGTCACCTAAAAAAAAGGAGCCTCGAACATCGCTGACGCACTGACCCGCCCCATTGCCCGGATACACGCCATACTATTCGCCCAAACCAGCCCACAAATTACAGGACTATTTACCCACGGCTATCGAACACATCCCACTAATTCACCGGAGGAAACTCCCAGCAGTTCGCAGGAGCAAAAGGGGTTTATTACGTAAGAGCCGGCACCGAAAGCATCTGGGTTCCGTGCTACACTTTACTTCGGGAGTTTCTGCTACAGGAGGCACACACTAGAGTTACCTCTGGACACTTCGAAGTATAGAAAACATGACAGCAGGTGCAGCGGTACTACTACTGGCCAGAGATGCTGACCGACGTACATTGATACGTGGCATCGTGTCCGACCTGCCAGCTCATAAAGTCGTCACGACAGCGACCGGCAGAACAGTTGCAGCCGATACCGCCCCCGGAACGTGCTTGGCAGCAGGTGACGATGGACTTCGTCACGGGGTTACTGGCCGGAGAAAGTGGGAACGGTGCGATCCTGGTCGTCGTCGATCGAGTGACGAAGATGGCACATTTTGCAGCCTGCAAGAAATCAAGCAGCGATTATCTGTGACCACGATACAAAATTCACTAGCAACTTCTGGCGGAACCTGTGGCAGCAGTTCGGCACGCGACTACAGTTTAGTTCATCGTACCACCCCGAAACCGACGGTCAAACAGAAGGGACCAATCAAATAATGGAGCAATTAATCCGAGCCACGTGCGATGACCCGGCAACCTGGGAGCAATAGTTGCCACTCATAGACAAATCCACATCAGCCACAACGCAACAGTCACCGTTCTACCTCAACTACGGGCAGAACCCCACAGTACCTATGACGCCGAATCCCGACAACCCTGTACCACGCGCACCATAGTTCGCCGAAATATTACAAGCAGCCCGGACTCGAGTAGTAGACGCAATAAAAAACCAAACATCATCGCTAAGCGTAATGCCAATCGTCACCGCTTCCCAGTCATGTACCAGCCCGAGGACCTCGTACTCCTTGACACCCAGAACCTCCGCCTGCCCATAACCCCGAAACTCCGCCCTCGATATTGCCGGCCATTCTGCATCAGCCACATGATCACACCCGTCACCGCCCACAGCCTCCTCCCTGCTGGTACGTCAGCCCGTCATTCGACGTTAGCTTGTTGCGCCCATACGTCCCATCCACCAGCCAACTGCCTCGCATCCGTCCAGCCAACATGACACGACCGCCAACGGAGCCAGTCATCACACCCGAGAAAATCTTGAGCCACCGAGTTCGTGACCCACGTGGAGCTCGCATGATCGAGCTCCTGGTTTCGCTAGAAGGATCGTACGCCCACCGGGTACAACTGTGTGCCCCTGGATAGAATTGAGAACCTCTCTGTCCTCGCCGAGTATCTGCGCAGCCGCAACTTCCCGGATGTCCATGCACTCTTGTAAGGGGAGCCTCCTTGGGGAGGGGGGTAGTGTAAGGAAAAAAAAAACTTCCTTACTTCGCACCCCTACTTACCGCATACATGACTGTTCCCGCCAACAGTACCCAACAGTGCACCGTTACCACACACGACATGCACCCTAACTACTGTTCCCTCCACTATTCACACCGCACCCAATCCTCGGGATTTGCACGTAACCCGCGCTCTGAATTCTCTCGTTACCGTTACCACTCTCGTTTCGCTACATAATATTCGCACATTTCATTCGCACGGTGTACTCTTGTCTCGATAGTGCAATCTTTCTTCACTCACTCAATTGGACTCGTAATAGTAATTTGACATGGTATGGAGCGGAAAATGATCCGATGGGCCCACCATCCCGTACCCTATGTCAACGGAAGTTGTGTTAGGCCCCGTCCTTGCTTGAGCGGAGCCGACTTCGTGGTCCGGTGTGAGGGGAGCAGCCGACCTGCAGCAGTGGGCGAGCTGGTCGACGGGGTTGGTCGACCTGCACGGGGGCCACTTCAAGGGCGCCAACTTCGGGGAGGTCGGCTTGGGAGGTCGACCTGTGTAGGACGTCGACTTGGTGACGCCGACCTGGAGAAGTTGGCTTGGGTGGTCGGCTGACAGCAGGGTTGGTCAACATGGAATTGGTCGACCAGGGGTGTGGTCGAGCTGGTCTGGTCGACCAGGTGGTGGTCGTCGACTTGGATAGTCGACGGGCACATACAACTTCTGGTCGACTTTCCCTGAAGAAGTCGAAGCCGACCTGGTGGTTTCCAGGTCGACCAAGTTACCCAGGCGACGAAGTTCTGCGGAGGCACGCGACACTCGCCGAGGTGTTAAGTGGCGAGGCCGACCTTGGTGTGGTATCCCGAGGTCGACGTGGCTAATCAGATGCAGTCGTCAGCGCCAGGTTGATTTGGTGTGTGCGCTGTGCAGGTGACAAGGCACGGCGCGCCAATCATCTGCGAGCACCTGCGAAGCAGGCGCTGTGAGAGTACGACGGCTTATGCTGGATTTGCTAGCTTTCCTAGACTTTATTATGCTATATCTAGCTTGGGTTTTATTTATCATGCATAGATATGCTTGATTTCCTAGGTTAGGTGCATCTCTATATTCTATTATAGTTATTGCACTGAACCAGGTTACGTGTACCGAACTCAAGCCTATTCGGTTTCTACCGAATTGCTTTCTACTGAGTTCGGGAAGGTTCTGTTCGGGACGCTTCGCGACCCTCAGAACATTCGCGTAACACCTGGGTAACTGGCCTTGTGTCGAGACTAT